TCTTAAAATATTTTCTTCATTTGGTTTCTAAGATATCTTCTTTAAATTTTTCCTTTAATGGTTGCTTTCTCTTAAGTCTCTAATGAATTTTCTTCTTCTTCCTGACTTCTAAATGGTAGAGTGTTTTAAAGCTAATGGACATCTCAAAATCAAAATCATGTCTAAAACAGAATTCTTGATTCCCCCATGAGGCTGAATTGGCTACTGATGTATCTACCACGTGATTTTTAAGATTTCAATGCACTTTTCATACATTTAAAAATATTATCTTTATAGAAATGCTGTTAGAATTGCATGTGTCCATTCCAACAGTCAGACAAGCATGCTACCTCTTAGATCTGCTGAGAAGGTTTTTAAAGAGTCCATATTTAACATATAACCCAGAGTAACAGTAGAATTAAAGTCTCCTTATTCCCTCTATATCCTCTCTACTAGGTTATTACGCCTATCAAGTCATACTTAATTCTTTAGAAATGGCGATTTAAAAGATGAGTTTCCAATTAACAGGAAACGGAACATAAAAATAGCGTGATAGAAGAGAGATATGACTTAGCCACTATGTGTGTTGGTCGACATAACTTTATAAAGATTTCTCCTATACCAATTAACATATAATTAGCAATATAATCCAGAATCATTTCACTATTCTTTAGAAGACCCCATTTTGCTGAGTTTCTACTCCTCAGAAGGCAGGTAAGTGGTCTTGTCTGATCTTGAAATCCATGATATTTATTTTTACAATAGTAAATACCATCTCAAAAAATAGAAATCATTATGATATATCATTCATCACATGATAACTCTTTAACTTAATCACATATAGATCTTCACATAGAGACCAGGAAAATCAAGGGAATACTAAATACAAACATACTAACTGAAAACACGCATAGAATATCTTTGTTTTAGGCAAGTTACTCAACACATCTCATATATTTATGTCTGAAGAAAGAAGCTATTATAAGATCCAGCAGTAGAAAACTAGTTCACTACTATAATTACTTTTGGTAATTTAATATCTAAGCTACTAGATCATGCTGAAATATTTAAATTTGAAGATTTGTTTCAAATGGTTTTGGAACTTATGATTCCATTTTTTTCTTAAGAAAATAAAGCATAATAAAAACCTTATTTTAAACACATATACATACATGCACAAATATGGAACTTAGAAACCCATTGAAAGTTTGAAGTCCAGTAATTGTAAAACTATCTCTGTTGGCTATGCTACAGTTAAATTTGGGCTTTAAAATAAGAGATAGGCCGGGCACGGTGGCTCAAGCCTGTAATCCCAGCACTTTGGGAGGCCGAGGCGGGTGGATCACGAGGTCAAGAGATCGAGACCATCCTGGTCAACATGGTGAAACCCCGTCTCTACTAAAGATACAAAAAATTAGCTGGGCATGGTGGTGCGTGCCTATAATCCCAGCTACTCAGGAGGCTGAGGCAGGAGAATTGCCTGAACCCAGGAGGCGGAGGTTGCGGTGAGCTGAGATCGCGCCATTGCACTCCAGCCTGGGTAACATGAGTGAAACTCCGTCTCAAAATAAATAAATAAATAAATAAAATAAAATAAAATAAGAGATAATCTGAATTCTATTGTCAGCAGGTCAAATCTATTAGGTGAGTAGATATGAATAACTGCAAGTTTTAAGAATGATTAAAAATTTAACCATTATAATGCCATTGAATAGTAATGAAGACAATGACAAAGAGACTATCACTTTGCTATGTAATATACAGGAAGGAACTTTATGATTTAACAAGAAACAAGACTACATTTCTTAAATCTGCCAACATCACAATGTTTTTGAGATAAAAACCTGTAACTACTCATACATGAAAACCAAATCTGTGTTGTTGTAGAATCTCAATGTATGGTCAACAGATCTATAATTTTGTAATACAAATGCTGTCAAAGAAAGACATATGGGATAGTTATGCCAAAAATATAAAGACATGACATTGATCATTGAGAAATATTGACCCTTCTATTTTTGAATTATTCTACACTCAACTTCTGTGATACGATCCTCTCAGTGTTTTGAGTTTTTCTTTGTGATTCTTCCTTTATCTTCTTCTTGGGTTCTTCCTCTGCTCCATTCTAAAATGCTAATCTGCTCTTTTATCTGTAGCATTCTTCTTGGGCAATTTCAGCCATGTTCATTAGTTTAAGTATTACCTAAACTTTATGATTCCTCAGAATTATGTCCCTGGTCCTAACATTAGCTTCAAAAGTGTTTATTTAAATGTTCTAGATATTTCCACTTGGAAATTTTCACAGATATCACAAATTCAAAATGTCCTAATTCAAAGACTCATCCCTCTTCTTTCCCCACCACTCCTCTTTTTTTTGGGGGGGTGGGAACAGAGTCTCACTCTGTCACCCAGGCTGAGGGCAGCATCTGATCTTAGCTCACTGTAACCTCCGCCTCCTGAGTTCAAGCGATTCTCATGCCTCAGCCTCCGAAGTAGCTGGGACTACAGGCATGAGTCATCATGAGGGACTCTCTTTTGTATTTTTTGTAGAGATGGGGTTTCACCATGTTGCCCAGGCTGGTCTTGAACTCCTGACCTCAAGTGATCTGCCTGCCTTGGCCTCCAAAAGTACTGGGATTACAGGCATCAGTCACTGTGCCCAAACCACTCCTCTGATACTTCCAATATCCATTAATGGCACTACCAACCACCCAGTGATGCAAGTCAGAAATATGGGTGTCATTTTAGAATTTTCTCTCCTTCACCTCCTCATAATCCAATCAGTCACTTAATCAGGTAACTGACTACTAATTTTGCTCTTTAAAAATTTCCTTAAACTATTATCCCCTCTCTATATTACAACTGGCTTAGTTCAGGGCCTTATCTCTTGTCTGAATTATTGTACTTCTCTGTTAATTCATCCTTAAATGCTCTTTACCAGGTGTGGACTTAAGTTTACTTCTTTATTGTAGCCCCACTAGAATATAAGCTCCAAGAGAAGAAGGATGTCTATCTTCTGTTTTCTTTAGGATAGTCCCTGGCAAATGATAGGTACTCAAAAATTGTTACATAAACAAATGGCAGCCTGAAAGGCCTAAAAGCTATACATAAAGTACATATAAATATGACCATATCAATCCTCTACTGAGAACCTTTTGAAACTTCCTATCATCTAAAATTATGATCTGAGACGTACTATGACCTGGTCCCTATTTATCTACCAGCCTCATCTCTAGCTATTCAGTCCAATATTTTATGTTAAAATTATGTAACTGCTTCTCATTCCTGCACATATCATGGATCTATGCCTTGTTTCTTATGGTTTCTATCTAGAACACCTTTCTAATTGTCTTTTACTTAGGTATCAGCCATTCAAGTCACTGAGATGATACCATTGATTAGGTGTCATCTCCAGGAATTCATTCCTGGAATTCCAGGTTGAGTTGAGTGGCCTTCCTCTGAGCATCCAGTGTACTTTCTATGTAATTCTAGATTCACCACTGACATATGACCTTGAAGCAATCTGTTTAAGCATATGTCCTCTATTACACTGTAAGCAACTTGGGTTATAAATGATTTATTATTCATCTTTTTTCTTCATGTGTCTGACACACATATATTTTCTAACTTGTAGTCTTATTAATGCACATTTTAGATTCCTAATTTTTAAAAAATTAGACTTTATTTTTTAGAGAAGTTTTAGATTTACAGATGTTTGTAAGTCTTAAAGAAAAAAATGCAATAAAGTTCTATTAGAGAAGTATAGAAAACGCCTCAATTTCAAAAGGCCAACATATATCATATTAGCACAGCATAGTTAATTATGTATACATATTAACAATTTTGAAAATCATTAAAATATGATCTGTATGTCCACTGTCCATGAATTAAACTTCATTTATACATTAAAATGCAAAATAATATTTTAAAACACCAAATGAAAAATTCTATAACAGAAATCAGATTAAATATCTTTACAACCAGAATATAAAAAATATCAGATAATTATTTCAATATAATATTATTAAATAAGACTAAATTCCCAGAATGACAGTTATAATTTATAAAAATCAAGATTAGCCGGGTCCAGGAATTAATGTAACCTTAAATTATTTTGTGCTGTAGATTTATATCTGAATTCTGTGTACAAAACCCTAGTAGTCAAACTTAAATTAGATTTACTCCAGCTGCCTATAATTTATTTTGCTATAAAAGAAACACCATATTACATGTTTTTGTTTGTTAAGTAGAAGATATGCTATTATTTCCAAGATACCAAGGATTTAATGTTTAATTATCAACACCCATTTGAAAAAAGACATTGCTTTGATTCACAAATTTCTTAATTGCTAACAGTGGCTTTTCTCAGTAGGAGTGTTGTATATAATTTATTTTTGCAGATGTGATTTAGCAACTGAATTTTAAAGTAGCAAAGCTTTGAATATCTTCACTGTCAGCAGAAAATTCCTCCATCCCTGCTGCTGGAGAATATTGCTGTTTGAAGTTTTAGCATGGAAATAAAAATTGCAGTGAGAAAACTGATAACTACTGGTAAATGTGGCTTACAAACTGAAAAGGAAGTTGGGTTGTCAGCAATATGAGAACTGTATTATTCACACAAAATATGAAGAGTCATCTTCACAGTAATTTGCTGGGAATGGAAATTAATGTAGCTGGTTCCAACTTGAGGAACCTAAAGAAAAGCAAATATCCCACATTTCAGAGTATCTTTACAAAGGATCAGCAACTGGCAATTGGGTGTCACAGCGTAACTCCTCCCTGAGGAGGAAAGACATTATATTGTAAGAATAGTAGTCAAGGTTCACTTTGAAGCAGGCTCATTGATCACTGGAAAAAAACATCATTGTTGATTTCAGAAAGGTTAACTAGTTTAAAATGCTCTTTCCCTCTGGAACATGTCACCATCCCCATATTACTGCAATAAAATGAGTAAGAGAAAAGAAAAATATCTTGTAATAACAACTCAAACATGAAGTTAAAAGTAACATTAAAATTCCTACCCGTTTGGCTGAGCTGAGAAGCACTGCGACTTTTCCGTGAGAGACCAACAATAGCTACCATTTTGGCCCCAATGCTAGAACGCCGCTTTTTGCCGCTGGTGCCCACTGCAGTGTCAGACTGGCTGCCATCATTCTTCTCCAGCGAGCACATGTCTCCACTGATGCTGGTGCTTTTTGTCATGTTCTTCCCTGATATGCCCATTTGTCTGCTTTGCATTTTGGATGTAAAGACACTGTCAGCCGATGGATCATTAAAAGCAAGGACAAGAGTAAAAAGGAAAAGACAGAAGATGCATTTTAGATGAAACATTTGGAGTATAATTAAATTATATTATCTATGGAGCACATTTTTAGGATTTGAAAACTTTCAAATACCATGGTCTTGATTGTGCTTTGCTACTCTGGGCCAACCTTAGAGCAAATACACAAAATCAGATTTACGATTTTATTTCTGCTGTCAAAGACAAGGTACAAATTCATATGATCACAGGAAAAAATATGAAAAATCAGTGGGTTTCTTTAAGAGACTATGCCATCCTGTAAGTGGAAATACGCTTTTAGGGAGCCAATCAACATAAGGGAGAAGTTTATAAAAACATTCTTATTTACTTTATTGTTGCCTTCAAAAAGAAATTAGAGTAGTGGGAAAATTTTACCAAAAAATAAATAAATAAATAAAGACCAATAATATAGTATCCATTGCAAGAGTGGCCCTTTAAGTTTTTTCATAAGGTTTGTCTAATAATGGTTAAATTTTCTCAAAAGGCTTGCTATTTTCATTAGCTTTGAATTAAAAATACTTTATTTCACTTTACTTAATTTAATCATTACTGATATAAATCTATATTACAAAAATAAAGAAGAAAGATTTCCTTCTTGCATTCTTTTGAAAGAAAGAAAAATCATTATCAGTTTTCCAGACAGTGTACCAGAAAGCAATCAATGAATCACTGAGGCATGTGAGCTGATTAATTGTCTACTACAAGACTAATACTGCAACTGGGAGTAATTCAAGAAATTACTCTGGATTTTTCCATGATTTCTGGGGTGTGGTAGAAAGTAGATTAGAAAGTGAAGAATCTGGAATCAGGCTATCCAGCTAGGCACCATAAACCTAGGAGGAATATGAGGCAAGCAGTCTGTTTTGCAGGAATGAAAAGACTTGTTTACATGTCAAGTTTTGTTTCAGTATTAGAAAGTCATAGTTGCTGCTTTATTTTGGTTCTGATAATGAATGTTTAATAGAAAAAGTAATAAAAAAGAATAAAAATAAAGAAACAAATATCTTTAAACATTATTTAAAGGATGAGAATTAGAAAACTAACCTATTGAGGTGAACTTTTATATCTAATTCAATATCTTGGTCTTTCAGGAAAAAAAGAATGTGTTTTCTAACCTACAGTAAAATCTGGTTAAATGCTAGGACCACGTATCAATTTTATTAACCTATGAACTATCTTCTCCAAGTATTTAAGAAGGAAAAGACCCAGTGTGAAATTAAAAAATATATATAGTGAAGTATATTATTATATCCCTCACATCCATTTTAAGAAAAAATGAGGCATACACAGGCTGAAACAAAACAGAGAGAGAGAAAGTGTGTGTGTGTGTGAGAGAGAGAGAGAGTTGTGTGTGTGTGAGAGAGAGAGAGAGAGAAAAAAGGCGAGGGGAAGAGAAGGAAGCTAGAGAGAGATATATAGAGACAGAGAGAGAAAGAGAGAGAGAGAGAGTGAGAGAGAAACAGCATATGTTTCTATAATATCCTGAACTTATAATTTTCAAGCTTGTTTGATTTTGATAAAAAGTAAAAAAAGGCTTGTTATAGCTTAAAAGGGTCAAAGTTTAATAGAAACTAAGGCTTTAAATACAACATATGTTCCATAGTCAGAATAACCTAGTGTTTGATACCAGCCTGGGCAATATGTGAAACCCCCACCTCTACAAAAAACACCTGTAGTCCCAGCTACTTGGGAGGCACAGGTGGGAGGATCACCTGAGCCCGAAAGGTTGGGATTGCAGTGAGCTGAGATCATGCCACTGCATTCCAGCCTGGAAGACAGAGTGAGATCCTGTCTCAGAAAAAAGAAAAAAAAAATCACTCAAAACATATACTTTTCTAAAGAACCACCGAATCTACTAATTACCAAGGAAGTTGAAGATACTCTCACAAAATTGTATCTTGTGATTTTTGCATTTGAATTTTTATGTCTGAACATCAAGGCCATATAGAATTTGACCAAAATCAAATAAGATACTATAATAAAATACTAACTAGAAGTGATACATCATTTTGTAGATAAATAATATTTTGGGTTTGAAACAAGTGCACTTCTCTTCAACCTAACAGGTTTAATAATGCATTATTTACAAAAGGAGTTACTTATTTTTATTCATTTGGTTTTTAGAGACAGTGTCTTGTTCTGTCACCCAGGCTAGGGCACAGTGGCATAATTAGAGCTCACTGTTACCTCGAACCCCTGGGCTCAAGTGATTTTCCCACTTTAGCTTCCTAAGTAGCTAGGACCACAGTGCATGCCAGCACACCTGGCTACATGGCTACATTTTTTTTTTTTTTTTTTTTTGGAGAGACAGAGTCTCATTGTGTTGCCCGGGCTGGTCTCAACTCCTGGACTCAAGTGATCCTCTCTTCTGGGCCTCCCAAAGTGCTGGGATGACAGGTGTGAGCCACCAAACCTGGCCTAAAAGGGGTTATTAAGAGTTTTATAAGATGGAAACTTTTTATTTCCTTGAATCTTAGAGATCACCAGGGATTAGTTTATGAATAGTAACACTAGAGTGGTGTGTTTTGATGAGAGAAAGATTGCAGCTAGGGTTTCTTTTCTTTCTTTACTGGACATCATCTAAAACTTAAGCAAAAAATGTTGCAAGGAAACAAGCTACCAAAATTTTTAAAGTTTTGAGACTCTTGATTTATGAAATACTTTGTTCTAAAGAATTTGTAATTATGGACAATATTTTTAAATGTCAATGTGGTTAGGAAAAGACTCATTACATTAGCAATTACTTTAAAAGATATATTGTATAAGGGTTTAGAAATAGAGTATATTTCAATATTTCTAGTAGGGGTCTCAGTGACAGGTTTCTAAAGAGCAACTTGGCAATATGTGTCAAAAGTTTAAAAAAAAAAGGCTACTCTTTAACCTAGCAATTCTACTTTAGAATTTATCATAAGGAAAAACTTAGCAATGTATACAGATTTAGCTATAATGATATTTATTGCACAACTGATTATAACAGCAAAAACAAAACAAAATAAAAACACAGGGAAAAACCCACAAATGTCCAACAATAGTGGGTGTTTAAATAAATTATGTTTATCAATAAAAGAAAATGTATTTTTGAAAATGCTGTTATATATAAATGTTTATGGACATAAAATATATTCTTTGTGGGTGTGGGGAGGCAGGAGCAGATATTTGTAACTCAGCCTTGGATGACATATGTATCAAATATGAAGGTACCTTACTACTTGGGGACACAGGCAAATTCAAATCCCAGAGGTTTTCCAGTGACAGAAATCTAAAAATAGTTGTATAAAATGAAAGAAATATTTTGTGCTAAACCAAGTAATTTGAGAAGACTAGATCCCTGAGATGATGTAGCAGTTATCTGCACAAAAGGACAATGAAGAGAATGTGAAGAAAAATAAAATTATGTGTTCAGAAAAATTATGTTTTTAGGAGAAAAATATAAATGTATGTAGCCAAAAATATGAAAGGATATATTGTGATCAGTGTGCTGAAAGTCATTTTAATTTTTTCTGGTTGATAGCTATGTGTTAAAAAAATGTTTGTCTTTTTCTATTTTGTTTTTTTCCGGAATAAACATAAAAAGTGTTGGTAATTAAAAAAATTAAAACAGACAAATGAAAAGAGCAGGCAAGGACCAATATTGCTTCTTCTTTTATGTAAGTCAAATTATTCAACCCACATTAGTTCATGTCATGGGTTAAAGGTACAATATGGATTTCTAGCTAATCCTAACAGATGACTATATACTGACTGTTGATCTAGGATGTTCTGTTCCAGAAATCGACACTGCCTCTACATTTCTAAATATTGTTTTATACATATTTCTAATTTTTTTGGCTTTAGAAAAATAAAACTGTATATATTTAATATTATCAAAGTGAAATATGTGAAATTTCCAATACAAGAGATTGATTTATGGCAAAATTATAGTTGTTGAAAAGTTGTATCCTGAATGGTTAAAGACAAAGGCAAATCTAGTATTGTCAATCATTAGGAAAAAGGTTAACAAATAACTAAAATGCAAGTGAAACACTTATAAGTATTCCCCAAATACATAAATAGCATATTAGCGATAATAGGAAGATGTAATTAAATTAAATGACATTGATGACCTATAGGGCCAAAAGTTTTCACTGATAGGTTCGAATGAATAGAGGTAAGCAGTTTGGCTCTGAAGGTAATAGCAAACTTGAGACAAAGACAAATTCTGAGTTTTAAGAATGTATAGTCATGCCTAAACAAATATTTCATCACATTAGAGCTGAGAAGGTAGTCTGGAAATAATTTACCAGGGAATGAAAGACTGGGGTGATTCTGTGGAGGCTCTGCAGCTAATACAATAGAGTATTGGGGCTGTGGCACAGTGACAGAAAAGACATTGAAGGATAGGAAGTACACAGAGATAGTTGCAGGAGTGAAACTATTAGTAACATCTTTGGCGAGGAAGTGGTGATAGAGAGGACTTGCAGTGTTCAAGAGTTTGAAGACAATAGCATCCCTGGTAGACTAGAAACAAACCCAGTAGGACTGGCCAAGCTTCCAAATGTGGTATCTTGAAAAGCTTATTTCCTTTTCCTTCCCACTGTTGTGCTCTCTGAGCCAGGTACCACAAATTAACTGAATACCTTTTACTATTATAACTCATACTTCATTGCACCAGTTGGCAGTCATTGGGTAAATGTCTGGATTGCAAAGTGCCATTTCTTGCATGCTATTTGCCAGGAAAAAAAAAAGCAGCAACAACAAAAACATCTGGTTTCTGTCTAAAGTTCTCCTCTTATTAAAAACTTCCCTATGTTAAATACCATTCCTTTCCTAAAATGTGGTAGTTCAAATTATTATCCTAATTTGCTATTTCATAAACTTTATTTCACTTTAACTCAAATCACCATCTATGACTTTAGCTAGTAAAACAGTAGTCATTTATTCAACAAAGATTTATTAAACACCTATTATGACAA